TTATCACACAGGATCACGTTTGTAAAACGGCGTCTGCCGAGCGAAGGAAAAATCGTACTCACCAACACGATGATGTTTCATCCTGAGGCTGGCGGGCTGGATCAAAGTCCTACGGTTGGTCGTTTTACGATCGCTCGACGGAGTGAAAAGCTGTCAAATAGAAAATAATGCGGTCAAAAGTTAACGAATGTCGGGACGCGGTCGCGAGGGATGCCGCAAACGTCGTCGCCGCCGCCGCTGTCGTCGTCGACGGCACGAATTAACGTCGAAATATCACGGACGACGAGCGCACGCTTCCACCTTCAGGAGGCACCGCGTTAAACGCGAAACGCCGAAACGCACGTGTCGCCGAAACGTCTCTCGCGAGATCCATCTTACGTGAAGTCGCGGCTTGGTGTACACGGCGTGATGCGCGCGCTTCTCCCGCGCTCGCGGCTTTTGCTTCGCGGTAAAGACGCCGCCGCCGCGTCGTCGCGTGGCGTACAACTAAATAAAGAAATTACGAGCCAACACTTACCGGAACGTGAGATATCGTGTTCACGCTTCTTCTCTCGATTTCGTCCCGATGCTGCAGTGCCAATTGCTCATGCCTCGTCTCTTCGTTGGTGTACGATGCTACCGCTATTGCCACTGACAGGTCGGTTGACAGCTAAACACAGGCAACACAGCGACGAGCGTGTGCGTGCATCGAAACCTCGAAACGCGGCGACGCTTAGCGCTGACGGCGGCTCGGCGTATATAGTTGAAAGAATGTCAAAACTCACGCAGCTGTCAAAGCTCGTAGCTATCGCGTGTGGCGCCACCTGTAGAGTCATCGATACACTTTTATAAATGGTCGAACTCGCGGGAGATGAGTTTAGAGATCGCTAAACCAATAAGCATCCAGCATAAAGTCGCCATATTGATTTACATAAGATACTCATTGGTCCAGCGATCTTATGCTATGCTTATGCAGTCTATGCAATTTTGTGTGCGATGGCCTTTATATTTCAAGGTTGCGTTCGAAAACGTAATCTGTCACCTGAGTGCACACGAGTATACTCCCTTCTCTTTCTATCTCAGCGAGTTAGAAGGAGAAAGGAGTATATACCCGTGTGTACCCGAGTCCCGGGTGACGTTTCCCTAACCTCTGAAAACATAATATATTTTTTAATTGCAAAATATTGTCGAGAAGATTTGTGTCAAAAAACTGGAGCCTAGTTGGAGACACGATGATAGGAATGTGCCTATCCCAAATTAATTAAAAAAAAAAAAGCGGAATATTGTATAAAGGTCAAAAAAAGGAGTCAGATTTGTGTTAAAAAACTAGAGTCGATTGGAGATAAGGTGATAAGACTAGACTAGTCTTATTACAAACATTAAAAAAAAAAGTAAAATATTGTGTAAGGAGTGTAAATTTTTTAATTAAATTCACATTCAATCATGAGGAGGAACACGGACACTCGTATTAGCGGAACGAACGTAATTTTAGTACCGTATCAAGAAAAACACGTTATAAAGTTTGTATTGTTGCATGTAAACTATCTCTTTTTAACATTTAATCGGATGTGCCCTTACGACTGATACGCCGTCTCGGAAATCATGTTCAGGTATCACGAGTGGATGAAAAATCCTACATTGCAGTATTTGACGAGCTCCGAGCCGTTGACATTGGATGAAGAATTCAAGATGCAGAAAAGGTGGTTGGAGGATGAGGACAGTAATTATCATCTAGACCTAGACTAACAGAGGCTTTTACACTAATACAAGAGAAGATATGTAATTCTGGGCATTGACTTGAAGTGTGTGTAACATTTTACACCCATTGTTTTTTTCTTCTCATACTATTTTAAATATATGTGGATAGAAAGTCCTGCGCATTTTTTTACATTCACAAGTATATGCAATCAAAGCCATAATATTATTTCTACGTTTTGTATGTATATTTATATATTAAAAATATTTTACACAATATATCATCTAATATAGATGATAAAATATAGATCTAAAAATCCAAATATATAAAAAACATGTGTTTTAATACACAATGCCAAAAAGAAATGAATGCTAAGGGGTTATGAAAAAAGAAGACAATAGGTATAAACTACTAATGTGTCATGCCGAGAATTACAAATTTTTGAAAGCTCTAGGAAAAACTCTAATACTTTAGAAGTACTTTTAATAACTCGCTATATAATAGTTACTCACTTTTAGGTGATTTTCATACAATTTTGTGCTTGTGTTTTTATGTTGTAGAATGCACTTTCATTATTCTTGATAAACATGGCTACCTGCAAACCGGAAGTGAAGTAGGTATGTATCTTTGGGTGCGATCTACTTGGCGCTCCGGACTGCTCCAGACGCTCTTGGAAACATTTCATCCTTGGCTGCATTCCGATATTTACTGTCAGTACTGCAAATCTATATTTTACGTCACGTATACTATAGATTTTCAGTACTGAAAGTTGCTGACAGTGAATATCGGAATGCAGCCCTTGTTGTTTGAAGCGTCTAATGGATCGCATGTTTTGGAGCGTTTTTCTTCTCTTTCTTTCTTCATTGAAAGAAAAGAGAAGAGGAATGTTGAGAGAAGGTGCAGCCTTCGTGTCATATCAATCAATCCCTCTTTCGACCGATTCGTTTCAGATGCCATGGCGGGGGACACCAATCTGTTTCTCCACAACTCGCAAGAATTATGTATCGCCGAAATAGAAATTATGATAGCCGACGAGGCAAGTCGGGGCAAAAGGAGGGGTTGGGAATCTGTTATTCTAATGTTACTCTATGGTAATTCGGCCGTACGATAACGATTATTGGACTAAACACACCTCTTTATGATTTATATTTATTTTCGTAACAGGCGCCGAAACGTTGAATATTAATAAATTTTGCGCCAAAATCAAATTAGACAATGCAGTGAGCATAAGAATGTTTGAGAAACTTGGTTTCCGAGAGGTGGGTTAAACGGCGTGACTTTCCGTCGCGCATTTAGCATTAAATGTCCATTAAGTCCAATTTCTTCGAGATCTTAATAGTTCAATGTAGTTATATTTACGATTTAACATTTTTGTTTAAATTAAAAAATAAAATAGACTACAAGTTGTCTAAGTCACGCGCAGAAAACTAGCCATTTTTTAACGGAAATAACTAACTATAAATAATGACTATACAGACAAAATTATAATTTAGGTAGAAAGAAGTGAAGTGTTTCAAGAAGTTACCCTGGAGAAGGAAGCGTCTTCTGATTGGATAAGTTGGTTGCATTCCGAACTACAAGCCATTATGCCTAATTAACTATTACTGTTATTACAGCAAATTTATAATAATTGATATATTTATAATTGTACGACTTTATAGAAAAATGTATAGAAAAAAATATTCAAAATATAAGAAATTTTTAAAATATAAAAATTCAACGCATACGTTTCTCCTCCCTGCAATGTACATCGTAATAGGGATTTGGGAAAAAGAGGGAGAGGAGAGGAAAGAATGCTGATGCGATACAATTGACATAGTTGAGTCATGATTGAACGTGATTGAGTCTAAATGCTTAGTGTGGCTTTCATACGCCAGTATCAGCGTCACTCTTCGAAGCGGCAATATCCAATTTCTTATTCAACACTAGTAAAACACTACGACAGAGTATCCATCTTATTTGATAACGCGTATCAAATAAGCGTGATAAGCGTAAAAAACGTGAAACAAGTGATAGAAGTCGCGGCTGTAGTAAAAAGTAAGACTGTATTAAAGTAAAAATAAAGTATGTCGTTGACAAAGGCTTTTCGAATTGTGAATAGTGTTATGCAAAAAAGGCCGTTGTTGTTTAATTCGATGGTGTACGGTTTCTTCTACACGAGCGCTGAGTTCATCCGACAGAGCTTCAGTAAGATGTCCAAGGTGAAATTCTCGAATTTCGGGATTCTTTTACGAGTAAAATTCTTTCTACATTATTCATGCTAATGAGCGGATCGTAATCTTGTAGCCGATACAGCCGATTGCCGCGGAGCCCGAAATTTCTCCTAATGTCAAAGGACCAATATTAATTCAAGTACAAAAACTTTGCGAGACGTTAGATCTGATAGATAAAAGTGCTGATTCGACGACCTACAACTGGCCGCAATTGAAGAGATACGCGATCTTCGGCTGCCTCTTGGCCGGACCGATGCTACACGGATGGTATTTCGGCAATGTTTTCATTAAGTTGTTTTCAAAGTACTTGTACAATTTCGTAATGAACTTACGAATTAATTTTAGATATTAACGACAGGTACAAATGGCTCGATACGTTCTACAGTGGAAAAACCACGAAGATCGTGTTAAAAAAACTCTTCGCGGACCAATTTATCTTGACCCCACCATTACTTATCTTGTTCTTTATCAGTTCGTATCTTTGAACGCTTCACGTGAACGTTACTTAAGTAAATCTTTTTCACAGCTTAATCTGCTTCACAAATCTTACAGGTATGAGTTTAATGGAAGCTAAGCCGGATCTCCTTCGAGAGTGCAAAATTAAGTTCGTGCACACTTTTCAGGTTCGTTTCCGAATTAAAAAATTAATACATTACGAAAATTATATATAATCTTTGTTTTTCAGACTTCGTGCGGCTATTGGTTGCCGGTGCAATTTGTGAACTTTCTATTAATTCCGCCGTCTTTTCGAGTGATATATGTCAGTGTTGCTGCTTTCTGCTGGGTCAACATTTTATGTTACTTGAAAAATTTACCCGTTTCCGAACACGAGCAGAAAGTAGAACACTGAGATTTTTCATATGCATGCATATCCAAGTACGTACCTGAATAATTAATTACTAATTCGTTAACGAGTCCGATTTCTCGATTTTTTACGTGATAATATCATTCCGTTTCTACTGTCAATAAAACATTTTCAGAAATGTCAAAATATTGAATGCACAATTAGCACATGTATAGACAATTCATCGTTTAATATTTACTTCCGATTATTTCATTTATGGAAATAGCTTAGGATCAAATAATTCTTTAGAGGAAATAATGAAAATGAGTGATAGGCCCTCAGAATTTATTTTGTATGTACAGATTGTGTATCGTTATCACTTTGTGGCCTTATAAATCGTGGTCTAAATAAACCAGCTAAGAAAATAAAAAAAAGGAGAAAAGAAAATACTGCGAATCCGTGAATCTTTAAAATAATGTCTATCCTAAAGCTAGGTTTACCGTTCAATAGATTGTTCACAAGAGATTAGATCAAACTTCTGGAAGAGAATTCCTTTTGGTGTTCCGAACGTTATACTGTCAAGAGACAAGTATCACGCATATTATTGCTAAGTAAAAATTCCTTGTAATGTTGTTACGACATACTGCCTGCCTACTCGGTTCGATCGTAAGCGACACAAGTATTTATTTCGACGCAAGAGCGTTACCGAGGAGCGGTTGGTGCTTGCAGTTTATCCACGTTGATCAACATCTTCGAGCAGTCTTATGCGTATGTTTCTATACTACATTAACCGTGCGCAAGTTAAATACATGACTCAACAGCAACAAGATGAGTAAGTAAACCGAAGCTATATGCGCCATTACGCCTGCATGCTGAGTCATGTATTTATTTCGGCAATTCGATTCGAACGAATACCGGTGAATAATTAAGAAAGACGTCTAAGAGGAATCCAGCCCTATCTCGTGGACGAAAATATATTCATTGTTCCGCTTGCTGTGCGCTTTCTTACGAGTCTCGCCGCTACTGTAAATGAAAACCAACGTACACATTCGTATTTCTTTGGGTTAAAGTTTTTATACGTTCCGGGTACCGGCTTACCGGTCGCGTCCTGTGGCGTTAGCGGTTTATCTATTACTTTTTGGATCACGTTGATCCATTGCGATCTGTCTTCATCGCTTTGCGCAGAGAGCAGGTAAGTTCTATCAGGTGTCTCGAGAGTAAACGAAAATCCTTGATCCCTAGCACCTGGCGGTACGCCGGTCTTTACCGCAAAACCTTCGGAACCATGTCCCAGGAAGATTTCACCTTTTGGATGGGCGTCCTTAAAAGGTAGAGAGGAAGATGTAGATCGTTTAAGTAACAAGCGATTCAATACAAGTAAAAATTAGAACGTACCATAGGATCGTCATGATACATGAGTTTTCTACCGTCTAACGTAAACCATCTTTTTTTGTAAGCGTCTGTATGTCTCGGACCAGTTTTCCATAGGAAGCCTTCGCGCGGAAAATCCCTCGTGAGTTGCGACAGTAACTCGTTCTCACTCGCACCCGGATACGCCACTTGTAAACGGTGCAGCTTCGCACACCTGATGGCGAGGTACCAATTCGTGATTACTTCCGGATCCTCGTGATACACGTAGATATGTCTCGTCGTACCATCCTTCATAAAGGACAACTGAAGACTGTTCTGATTGCCAGTTTTCGATGGCGCGAACGCCACATTTAGTTCAGATATCCTTAGAACAGCTTTGGGTTCCTTGAAGTAAACGTGAGATTATGTATTTGCACCCTCGTGAACTTATTAAATTCATCACTATCTTACTCAGGTTACCTTATTTTCCTTAACGTGATACTTGAGTGTGTCCTCCGCCTCGCAGAGTACAAATTTACGAGGATGGTAACGCGAATCTTCCTTTCCACGTTTCATTAAAAATCCTTCCATGAATCCTGACACATAGTGATTTTGTCTTTCGGGGTGACAAAATTCCTCCCTCTCGTACTTTGCCCTTATCCACTGTTCAACTAAAACTCTATAATAAGTTTTGTAAATTACTTTCTAAGGTAATTCAATCACTTTATATAATATTGATTCAAATAAAAATACTATTTAAAATACTAATTAAAATATGATACAACTGCCAGATGATAACCATATCATAAGGCGATAACTAAAACAGGAAAACCACAGATGGCTCGATAACTCACTGTGGGGCATCTGGGCTTGGTCTACGGTAACAAGAGGGTACACGTTCCTCGTAATGCAATCTCGCCGCGGCATTACCCACTTCGCGTATCCTATTCACTTGAGAATCTTCCCATCTGTCTAACTTTAAGTGCTTCACTTTCGAAATATGTGCTCCCATAGACCTGTGTACACCGGCGCACCTCGTGCAAACGAATATACCTATATTGTAAGATGCCCATTCTGGATCTGAAACGTAATGACAGCCCAGTCAGTGACGATAGTGACGCTGTATAAGAAGAAAGAAAGAAAGAAAGGAAGAAGAGATATTGTGTATGTATTCCCAATAATCAAGAATACAACTTTCATCGTTTCGTTTCAAGCGTACTATCGCTAACGATATCATCGAGTCCGGTCGTCGTTGGAATTCGTGACGCCGCACAAATCAAATATCAGGCGTCACGAGCCGTGACCGTTCTCGCGCGACGCTACATTATGTAATCGTAATATTTAATATCGCGATAAAAACAAACATTCCGACGTCGCGGGACAAACGCCGGGAGGTTAAGGACGCACGTCGCGGCTGAATGTGTCTCGCTCGGCCGCGACGGCTCAGGTAAATGGGAGCTCTTTTACGGAACACACTCACTCTTGGCCCCGCAGTCCGCACACACGTTGTTCCCAGGCTTTTTCAGGAGTTCCGCCAGCAACTTCTCATTCGCATCAGCCATCTTAAAACATTGGCGAACGTGGGCGACGTTCATATACCGTGAACAGAGAGAAATCTGAGAGAGGCCATCCGCCCATCCCGGCCTTTTTCGTGTGTTGCATTTTCCGACGCGCCGCCTGAGAAAGTGCAACTCAACTACGTCGTTTCGCTCGGTAACCGCACATGGTTTGCGTCCATGCTAATGGTTCGTGTCCGAACTAGCCAGCTGGAGGGCATATTCTGGCCGCGGCGGCCGCGCTCGGCAAGCTTCGAGCGAGGAGAGAAGGACAGACAATTCTCAATTCCCAATTCCCAATTCTCAATTCTCAATTCCCAATTCCCAATTCTCAATTCTCAATTCTCAATTCTCAATTCTCAATTCCCAATTCCCAATTCCCAATTCTCAATTCTTAATTCTCAATTCTCAATTCCTAATTCTCAATTCTCAATTCTTAATTCCCAATTCTCAATTCTCAATTCAATATTCTATTTAGGTACTCCGAAATGCACGTTTGGCGAAAGAATGAGCGTTGTTTATCATTACCTCGATTCTGCAGATGCATACTTTATACGATCTGGTATGCACGAGTTTGATGATGTTACCCAGCGATAATCCCGCTGGCGGTTTATTTTCGTCAAACAAGATAGTTTTATTTTCCTGCGTTTTCAATTTAATCTTCTCTTTACAATTTGAATGTAAATAACAGTTTGATCGAACAGTTTCCATAAATTCTTTCATAGGCTCTCATGGACAGACAGGGAAAAAGTCTAATTTTAAGAAGGAAGCTAATTGTGATTTTACGCAATTAGATTTCAAGTTATTCTAACATCGAGCACTTCTGGGTAACCAGAAAGATCTAATCGCTGCGATTACAAATCTAACTATATGCATTAGCTAAAACAAGACAAGAATGCTATTTTTTTCGAGATAATTCCGATATCGAGGACAAGAAGACGTTAGACAAGGAAAACAGGACTGACGAGTTGTAATCTTTGTTTTTCATTTTACGAGCGATTAATATTTAACGAGAAACACACATCACCTTATCTCTTGCCCACCATGGTCGCAGATGGCACAAAAAGAGTTAGTACACAATATTAATCATATATACGGACAAACAAGCGTATTATTTGACAAACGATCGAAATCATCGGCTCTACGTGATAATACGAGATCGAAGTAACGCGATAAAGTATAACAAATAGAATAGTTCACTCTGGCATTGAACTCTTACAATTTTGCGATTTTCACAATCGCAATCGTCGAACGGGCAACGCGTTCGCGGTCTCGCGCACTTCGTTTTCTCGACGGTTTCTCGGTGAAAGCTGACTGAAGTACCTGAAACAGAATTTCGTGTTCGTCATAGTTCAGTGTAGTGGAGGTCCTTGAAAGTAGCGAGAACATTTTTTATCGATACATCACACTTCACATTCTTATCGTTTAAACAAATGCTTTATTCCCTATAGAAAAATATATCACAAGAATCAATCCGTTTAGAGATAATACAAAACTTGAACACATAACGCTCTCCCATTTCTGGACAAGTAGAGTTTTTAAACGTAGCACAGTAAGTCAAGAGCCGGACAAAAATCCCCATTTTTGCATTTATTTCCAAATTTATTTCGTAATATATTTTTGTTTTCCTTACTTCTTGATATAATATTTTGCATCAACATAAGTTCTTCCATGGTGTTCTTGTTCTCATTCAGTATAGGTATTAATAAATGTAAATCGCAATTAAAATTGTGTAACTCTCATATACAGAATATGTACATGTGTATTTTATAATTATATTATTGAATGTAAGCTTTAGGGCTTAATATTTGTTTATGAAGAGTCTTATCAATGGTTACACTATTTATGAAGAGTTTTATTGATATTTACATTGTTTGGAAGCACGTTGCAAACACTTGGTTAACCCTCTACTGACAAAACATTTTATATAAATACTTAAAAAACTATAATGGAAACGTTTGAGACGATGTTATTAAAAACGCCATTTAAAAATTTCATAAGAAAAACATGGCCGTGAACAATTCATAAACAATTCCATTTAAATTTACATCTCATATACAATTTATTAAATATTTTAAAATTCACATGAAACATTCTACTAAACATTTAAGCAAACATCTTATAAACATATTTTCGCCAGGGGATTTGCGTGAACCTCATTTTCCAGGGATTTCATCCCATATGCACGCACGCACATTTAGCACATATAGCAGAGAGAGTTTGGAGTCTTTAAATATTGCGAGTGACGAATCGTAGGGTCGTTATCTCTGCTGACACACACACAACCAAACAAACATACAAACATGCACAAGGGTCAAATCCTCGTCACGTCCACGTCATTGATCCTAAATAGAGCCGAGAGCGGGGATTTAACGGATACTTTTGAGGTAAAATTCGAATTCAGCGACCTCAAAAACTCTCTGTAAAAATGCATTTTGTCACATGAAGTTTTGTCCAACTTTTGACCGATTTCGGCCCACTGTGCCTAGCGTAAAACGGAACTATAATATATATATAATTCCAATGTAAGTTTTTTAAAAAGATTTTTATTTTTATTTTAGATAAAATATCTGTATCTCCTCTTTTTATAAACTGTAATAGAACAGTCTACATAAATACTTGTTAACTTTAAAACAAAAAATTGATTTGTTTAAAATAAACAAAAGACAACAGAAGTGACATCACTCATATTCTACTTCACAATTTTATCTTTTATACAATTTTAAATAAATGTTTACTTTTAAGAATAAAAAATTAATTTGTTTAAACAAAAGATAAAAAGAGTGACTCATATTCTACTTAATTTTGTGAGCAGAAAATGTAACAAAACGCGCGTCATAAAAGCGAGTTCTTTCTTCACGAATTACAAACGTGGTCCGTGACATCTTCTTAGTCACCCGTCAGTTGTAATTCACGTTATATCGTAAATGTAAATATCCGAGTAACAAGTAACAAGCGAAATGTATGCGGCGTCGATTTTACGGAGTCCTTTATTTCCGTCGTGAACGTTTATGGACAGCGCCGAAGACAACGGCGATGATGAATTGCGCCGTTCGGTCGCCTGCGATCGAGATCCTTTGCGAATGACTCGCAAAAGATGATGTAAACCAATTATATTTTAACGCTTAATTTATTTCGTAACAAACAATACGCGTGCGCATCAGATACGACGATAATGCGCTTGTTTTGCGATGCACGATTCGTGCAGCACGAATACCATCGGCAAGTGTTGCTTTCCCGATGCCATTACGTCAGATATTCAAATTCGACGTAATTACGTTCGTCAAAGAATAGAAAGAAAAAAAACTACGTGAAATAAACGTGTGGGAGTATCGCAGACGCTGACAAAGGATCCCACAACTCTGATGAATCTGTGCACGAAACGAGTGACTTGAAAAAAGGGTCGGTCAACGGAATCCCGTTTTGTGAAGTTAGAAATTCCTTACCTTTAAAATCCTTCCTGAAGGATTCCTGAATTTCTTTCGATATATTCTTACTTGTTTTCATTTCAATCAAACGATTTATAAAAGAGCCAAGATTGTTAAAGCTAATTCTTAATTTGCAAAAATGTATATTTAACTCTTTCTCAACATATTTCAATTCATTCTTTTTTTCGCGGAAACACATGACATCAGCAAAAAAAATGAGTAATACATTGACGTTATGGAATTTTGCAAGGCCGTAAAAGAGAAAATATTAAACGATAAGTGAATTAAAAGAAGAAGCAACGAAGCGAACAGCAAAAACAAGGAAATATTTATATCGGTTAAACTGAAAACATTTGCGATTCTGGTAAGAACGAAATGATTTACAATTACGATAACTCACCAACTTTAATATATTTTCTGTTTCGGTAACTTTTAGTGTTCTCCGGTGCTTCTAAGAATATGCTTCTAAGAATAGAAAAAGGTGACGAAATAGAAGAAAAACTCAAATAAAATGTTTTGTATTACTACTTACTTATCATTTAACTCTGTTTACTGTATGTCTATCAACTCATGCTTATTAGTGTCACGTTAATTTAAATTTACTTTTAATTAATAATATGGATACACACAAAAAAATATCGTAGTCAAGGAAAGCAATTATTTTATTTTATTTGTTTTAATTTAAGTAATAGTTTTATTCAACAAAAAATATTTTTTTAATAATAGTTTTAAGATATACCTGGCTTAAGATATACAAGTCTTAGAAAAGCTCAATATTTTGTGCTCAAAAGAAGAATTTATTCTTCTTTTAAGAATATTATAAAATTTTATCGAAGAAAATGAATATAGTTTGGAAGAAAGAAAGTTATTCTTGTATATATTATGTATTATATTATAATATTATAATATTATTGTATATATTATGAATTCTTGCTTTAAGTAAATCCATTCTCAATTCAAATAAATATATTTATTTTAGAGAGTTCCCCCGTAGCCCTCGGCGGGGAACAGGTAGATAAGTTGAGAAGTGGTAAAAGGACGAAGAGAGAGATGGAGGTGCAGGGTTGAAGGAATGTGAGGGAGAAGTTGAGAGGAGGACGAGAGATTGCAGGAGATGAGGCTGAGGGTGACGTGGAGCAGCCGGAAAATGCGGGATTTAAATATCTACACTAATTTCTTCGTAATTTCTGAATGTACAGATGCTGCAAAAATGATACAATGGAACTGTAAAAATAATCATCATTCGGTTATCTTCTATACGTTGTACATATATAATCATAACGCATTGATAAGAGAGTAATCTTAATTAAACACCGCACGCCTCTTGTTACAGAAACGTTATCTCCGATCTACGAAACCCGCAATAAGATCTCTTTTCTCTCGCACGCGCGAAGATCTGTCAGAAAGCGTGATGACAGGGGCTTCCCCTCACCGGGGAATTCTCGCGGGAGAATAATAGACGATAACATGGGGAACCGCGCGCGAAGGAAGATAATCATATGCGAGAGATACGACGACGTCATCCGGCATTCTGACCGATTATTCGATCGTCGTTAACTGCATTCCGGACTCGGATGCCCTCTCTCTCTCTCTCTCTCTTCATTTCGTATAGCATCACGCACGTAATCGGGATGAAA